ACATTTGGGAGGTTTTTTTGTTTGTTTGTTTGTTTGTTTGTTTCAAGTGCATTATTTTATTTTTGCTTTTTGGGGAGAAGATTTGCCAATCTGTTCACCATTCTAGAAATCTCAACCTTTCTGAGGTAATTTTTATAATATAAGCTTTTGAATGCCTTAAAACATAATAAAATGTGTTATTTTTGTCCAGAGTTCATGAGCTTAAAGCAAGTCACATAGTCATTCCTTTGTTCAACAGATAGAAATACAGAATCCTCCCATAGGAAGGAACATCACAGGGATAATGTGGTAGGCAGTTTATGACATAGCTTCCAATGTCACACCTCTGTGTCATCCCTTTCCCTTGAATTGGTATGGACTTAATCACCCTCTTCCAGAACAGATAGAATTCAGTAAAAGTGATGGGCTGTCAAGTTGGTAATTAAGTTAGGAAAGACTACTACTTGAGTCTTACTAGCTTTTTCTTTCTTGTGGGTACTCTCTCATTCTATTTTGACTTTTTGGGTTCCTCACATCGATGAAGCAAGCTACCGTTTTGAAGAAACTCATATGGCTAGGAACTGAAGGTGGACCCCAACCAATTCCCAGCAAGGAACTGAGCCTCTCCTATTGAGTTCAATAGCCCATGAGGAACCGAAGCCTGCAAACAACCACAGTGAGCTTGGAAGCAGATTTTTCCTCATTGAAGCATGAAATGACAGTAACTCTGGTTGACACCGTGATTGTGGCCTTGTGAGAGATCCTGAAGCTGAGGACCCGCTTAAGCCATGTCCGTATTCCTGACCCATGGAAACTGTGAGATAATTAACGCTTAATGCCTTAACCAGTAAATTGTGGGGGTGAATTCTTATGCAGCAATAGTTAACAAATACAGAGAGTAACTAAAATATTTAGCGAGGAGTGAAATAATCCACCAGAATAGGTAGAGTTGGACAGGATATTTCTTACCATACACCAACACTTCTAAAGGAATCATATTTTAATCAGGGCAGCTTTCTTTAATCATAACCTGGCATTTGCTCTGAATGTCTACTATTATTTTATGAAATTTGAAAGTATTAGGGCCCCAAATTTATTATTTCTAAAAATTAATTATAGTAATACTGCTAAGCCACAACAAAGCAAGTATTTTTTTAAAAACTAGATTGAAAAAACATATTTTCTTGTGCATTACTAATGATAGTACTCTAATTTTTCATTGATATTTTGTAATTGGCAACTGTTTGTCTACTCTTTATAATTTAGTGTTAATATGTAAATACTAAGCTCAATAAGCTTCACTTATATAGAAAATATTCAGTTAAAAATGTAAGAGAAAACTCTTCCAAAAGCTAGAGTGTTAGAAAAAGAGACCAAAAAATGTAACTTAACAGTGGAGAAACCTGACAAATATCACCTTAAGCCAGGTGATTGAGGTTAACATCAATAGTGATGAACCACATTTGGTAGTATGTAGCCTTGATGTGATGTGGTAATACCATATTTCTTCTGTGGTCTTCCTTCCAAAAAATATTACCCCCGTCTAATTGTTAAAAAAAAAAAAATTGAAAAATATCTGTCAAGAAAAATTGTGCAAAATATCTGATCAATAATCTTCAAAACTGCCAAGGTCATCAAAACCAAGGACAGTTTGAGAAACCATCACAACCAAGAGAAGCCTAAGGAGACATGGCTACTGAATATAATGTGGTATCCTGGATGTGATCTTGGGACAGAAAAAAAGACAGGTAGAAACTAAGGAAATCTGAATAAAGTATTCACTTCAGTCAATGATAATATATTAGTATTGGTTCATTAATTGTGACAAATATACCATAATATTTTTTTGTTGTTTGTTTTCTGTTTTTGATACAGGGTCTTGCTCTGTCTCCTAGGCTGGAGTGCAATGGCGCAATCTCAGCTAACTGCAACCTCCGTCTCTTGGGTTCAAGCAATTCTCCTGCCTCAGCCTCCCAAGTAGCTGGGATTAGAAGCATGCACCACCATGCCCAGCTATTTTTTTTTTTTTTTGTATATTTTGGTAGAAGTGAGGTTTCACTATGTTAACCAGTCTGGTCGCACTCTCCTGACCTCAGGTGATCTGCCCACCTCTGCCTCCCAAAGAGCTGGGATTACAGGTGTGAGCCACCGCACCTGGCCCACTTTTCTTTATTATTAATATCTTAACATCATTATGGTACATGTAGTCAGGTGTGGTGACTCACGCCTGTAATTTCAGCACTTTGGGAGGCTAAGGTGGGTGGATTGAGTCCAGGAGTTTAAGACCCTCCATGGGCAACATGGGGTAACCCCATCTCTACTAAAAATAACAAAAATTAGCCCATCATGGTGGTGCACTCTTGTAGTCCCAGCTACTTAGGAGGCTAGATAGGAGAATTGCTTGAACCCCAGGACGTGACAGTGGAGGCTACAGTGAGCCAATATCGTGTCATTGAATTCCAACCTAGGTGACAGATCAACACTTCCTGGCACCTTTGTTTATACCAAGAGGAGAAAAACCATCTTCTACTGATCCCACTAAAAGGCCATAGTGGGTTGCGAGAAAAAGCAGCATACCTTTATTTCTGGCCCCACTTGTCTCTCGGCTCCAGTCCTGAATTTCCAAGTGCATGATTGTTATTTCTTAACCTATTAGATATATTTCTTTTAAAAAATTTTAGGGATAACCCCAGGGTTTATGATCTACATATACAACTAATCTAAGTCCACTTTTCATCACACTATATAATTTCACACATAGTGTGTATACCTTGTGATAACAAAATAATCCTAATTCTTCTCTTTAATCCCTTGTATCATTGTATCATTCATTTCACTTATATGTAAGCATGCATAATTACACACCTGAATACATTATTGATATTCTTATTTTGAACAAACCATTATGTAAGATCAATTAAGAATAAAAAATATTATACTTTCATTTATTCCTTTTCTTTTCTGAGGGGGGCAGGTGGGGGATGAGGCCCTGCAAGTAAGTGTCGGGAGTCAGCAAAATAGTCGGCATAGAAGTACAAACTGATGCCAGAACCTATGAACTGACTGTATTTAAGAGGTGTTGGTGGGGGAGTAAAAGAGAAGTGAAGGGAGACCAGAAAACTTAGGCAAGTCAAGTGAGAGAAAATTCTTTAAGTGTGAACTTCTGTATATGACATTTATGATTTGGGCCCAGTTTATATCAAGAAATTAAGAATGATAATTGGAAAAATGAATAGGTCTTTATATATTTTAGGACTTATGATGATTATGATATAGGATGAAAAAGTATAGACAGCAGGTATTCTAACAATTATAATTAAAGAAATGTATGAATAAATAAGCTTTTATATTTTCCTACGATTCCTAATTTTTTCCTTTATCATACAAGTTATTTTCTTAATACTTGTCAATATTGTAATACCATAAAGGTTTTTCTCTAAAAATAACAAAAATAGTGTTTTAAAAGTATATTTTATAATGCTGAGAGGCAAATGTAATGTAAAAGAGTCAGAACAGACTTATCCAGCAAATATAATTTCATCTGTGAAATGGGGATAATAATATTTCTTATCAGCTTATCTCAGAGAAGTGTTACGTGAGTTAATTGAAGGAATTATGCAGCTCTTGTGAATGTAAAATCTATAGTAATGTATAATATAATTGATATTTTAAAACTTTTTGTGCTTCTGGTCTTATGCTGGTAAAATTGTTATTACCTTAAATAAGCAACAAATACCTAAATTTTGCTCTATGTTCAGGAAGCACATTTTCTCATCTTTAAAACTTACAAATTTACTGTAATTTTTCTTTCTGTGAGATGTTGGCATTTATCTTGTTTTGATCAATTCCTGCTCTGGCAAGTACATGCAAAATAAAATGTTAGGACCAACAAACAAACATTTTTGTTGAGTGTATCCTCACTGTCTAAATATGTTTTATTTTTTATTTTTTAGCCAGGACTATATGTTTCAAAAGCTTTCATGAAACATGCATTTATTTCTGGACCATCTTAATAGCTCACATATTCCTGTCTACATTCCCTTAGATCACCTTCTATTCAGTACTTCTTTCTTAAGAGTTCTTCTGTTGGCCAGAGTTTTTTCTGAGGTTTCAGTAGGAATGCTTGTGAAAACATTTGTGGATAGCCCAAACATTTTTTAATAACATTTGCTTGGAAAAATTTTACTGGCAGTCAGGACACATTATTTAAACATATTTCAAAATATTTATGCATCTTTGCAATACTTTGGCAGTGTCTTGTACGGTAAGGCTGAATCAATTATTTTTCTAGTTACCTCTTTTGTTTGTTTTTAGCCATTTGTAATAGTTGATTGATGAGTGTTTGATAGAATTTCCACAGTGTTGATAAACTCAATAGTAAGGTGGCTATAGCAACCAGAGGTTTTTGAACTTTCTTCCTTCTCACAGACTTGAACTGAAACAAAGTAGATTAACTTTTACTGTAATCTTGTCAGATGCTTGATTTTCAGTTGCTATTTTGCTTCTTTTTTTTGGTATTCACTTTTTCAAAAAACTTTGAACTTTTATCTTAGATACAGGGGATATATGTACAGATTCATTATATAGTAATATTGTGTGATGCTGTGGTTTGCATTACAGATCCTGTCACCCTGGTAGTGAGCACAGTACCTGATAGGTACTTTTTAATCTCCCTGCCCACCCTCTAGTGGCACACAGTATCTCTTGTTCCCATATTGTGTCCCATTTATAAGTGAGACCATGTGGTATTTGGTTTTCTCTTCCTGCATCTATTTGCTTAGAATGATGGCCTCCAGCCCTATCCATGTTGCTACAGAAGACATAATTTAGTTGTTTTTTATGACTGCATGGTATTTTATGGCATATATGCACCATACTTTCTTTATCCAATCTATCATTGATGGGCACCTGGATTGATTCCATGCTTTTGCTATTGTGAATAGCACAGCAATGAACAGATGAATGCATGTGTCTTTTTGGTAGAATTATTTACTTTCTTTTGTGTGTATACCCACTAATAGGTCTAAGATAACTCTGAAAAATCTCCAGACTGCTTTCCAAGCAACTCATACCAGTTAAAATGGCTATGGTTAAAAAGTCAAAAAACAACACATGCTGATGAAACTGAAGAGAAAATGAAACACTTAACGCTGTTGGTGGGAATGTAAGTTAAATTAGCTGCTATCTCAGTTTTTCCCTTCTTTCCTTCCCAATGGCAATTCAGAAATGAATAGATTTGTTAGCATCAATTTGGCATTAGTATTTAGTGATAGATACAGTTTTAGTGAGACCTGTGGTTCTCTATATAGGGCTTACACCTTTTTTAAAGTTATTTTTCATATTCCATGACTATGTCTAAATAAAAAAGAAAATAGATAAATTATTAGTGCATGTATGTTGACTAGTCAAATCAAACTTTCTGAGTTATTTTTTTGGGGGGCTGGGTGAGTAATTTATTAGTAGGGCTCCTTTTTTTTAGTATTTTTTCCAGAATAAAGAGGGAAATTTAGGTCTGTGATTATAGTTGAGTCTTGATTTTGGTTTATCTGATCTGCAGAGGAAGAGCAAGAAATATTACCTTAACTTTCACTTCTGGGGGTGATAGTGCCACATAACTAAAAATCCTTAGTATGTATATCTTTAAAAACCATATTTTAAAGATCTTAATTTATGACAGGTGTCTTCTCTCAAGTTCTTTATCCCCAAGTTGCAAGTCTTTCTGCACATCTTTTCTTGCATCTCTCTCTTTGGTATTTTTTCTTTATGTATTTGTGCTGTATTTTTAAAATGTGGCTTTCTCACTCTATAAAACTGGGTATACATATCTGACTATGTGTCATTTCCTATGTGCTTGTATGTGTGCTTTTTCATCTGTGCTCAATCTATTTTTATTTTGGTATATCTGTTTATTTTGATCTCTGTCTGTGCCTTTATCAGTGAATATTTCTCTATGTCTTTATGTCTGCTTCTCTCTCTTCCTGTGTAGATGTATATGTGTTTTGTGTTCTCGATTTCTATGTCCATTTTGATGTATCCCTCTGCTTATGTGACCTTTTTCTTCCCTCTCTCACTGTCTTTCACTATCTCTGTCTCATTATATATATATGTATTTTTCAATTTTCTTTTATTTCAGTTATCTATGTGTCTTCCTTACTTTGTGTTTATAACATTGAAGTTTTGCTGTAGTGTTATATTTACTAATTAAAATTTAAAGTTTCCTGTTTTATGTATCAAAACATTATGTTGTACATCATAAATATATACAATTTCTACTTGTCAATTAAAAAATAAATAAGAAATAAGTGTGCTTTGAAAAAAATGTTAAAGCAGTGTCCAGTTTTATTTCATTAGAAAGAGTTAAAGATCATAAAAGGAAATTCATAAAAAAATTACAAGTGGGATAATTAATATTTAAAAAACAGATATGCTGTTACTAGAAATTAAACACATGTGAGTAAAATAATGAAGTTACATTTGTTGGCTATTAGACTGATAAAAGTACATATTGTGGGGAAATAGTGAGTTATACATTGTAATGGCATTGAACAACATTTCAAGAGGACAACATGAATCAAAATTTTAAATATATATTAGCTTTGACTCAGCAATTCTTCTTTAGGAATTTCCCCCCCAAAATAACCAGATAATTGTACAACTGTTTATTTTAGAATTGCCTTAGTAGTATAAAATGAAAAGTAAATGTTTACTAGCAGAGGATTGGTTAAGTGAATTATGGTACATCCATATAATAGAATATTACAGTCTATTGTTATGGAAAAATTATATAGTCTATTGATAAAGGAAATAAATCAGATTACAAAAAGCTATACAATGCACATATTGTATATGCCATTTATTCATTCAAATAATATGTATTTTCCACATGTACTATGTGGTAAGCACTCTAGAGCCACTATAGAGATATCCATATTGTTTTATATGGGGATAATGAAAGAACTTCCATCTTCTCTCTATTATGGAGTTAATAAGCAAATATTATGAAAAATAATACAGTTGCATCAATTTTTGAAAGTTTTGTGTTCTTAAATTTTAAAGGAGATGTATTTTTTATTTTGAAATATTATATTAAATTGAACACTTTTCATAGTTTTCCTTTACCCTCCCCCATCCCCATATGTGAGGTATCTGTGATGCTCTATAAAAATTAATTCCTCATCCTGACTAAGGCAATTTTCTTAGGTGTTCTGGAAATGTTATGCCTTGGTACATATTGCGTTAATGAGTTGTCAAGAAACAATATTTGTTTAAAGCCTTTGGAAAAGTAGAAAAAAATTAAGCCATGTACTTGTCAAAATGTCATTCCCATGTGAAGCTCAGAGAGTCTGAACAAATACAATGTGAAACAGTAAAGGTGAACGCTTTGCTCAGTCGTTGGAAATTGACGCTATTGTCAGTGGAAAACTAAACTTGAAATATAATGTTTAATACAGTGATTCTATAACTTTAGTGTGCATAAGGCTTACCTAAGGAACTGTTTTTAAATGCAGATTCCTGGACCTCACCCCCTGAGGGTGAATTTGGTAGGTCTGAAATGGGCATAGAATCTGTATGTTAACAAGCTTCTAAGGTGATTCTAATATAAGGAGTTTAAGGGCCACTTTCAAGAAATGATGTAATGGGTGATTATAATAGCTAATCTACTTTAAAAATTTGACAGATTTCCCTTAAAGCATATCTACTAGACATATTTCTATGAGGATTCTTTAGACAAGCTTATTTAAGTAATCATGGAAGTTATGTAGGGGTACTGTGAGTTCATAGGCAGGTCTGCATTCCATTTCAAGACCTATTGATTTTCTGGACTACGATTCTGAGCCAAAATTTTAATGAGCTGCCAATGTTTACTTTCATCAAATAAAAATTGGCACTCCTTTTCCTCAAACAATGGCATTAATATTTATAGATTTTTTTCTCATTCTTATTATTTTATAATAATGGGTAGATAGTGTGAATTCCCAAGAACCTGATCATAAAAGTGAGGAAGAGAATATGAAAAAGAGAGTGCTACAAATTTAGAATTCTGATCAGTGAAAGCAGCTGTATAGTACAAATAAAAGACGACTTTAGAGAAATTTGACATAATCAGACTCCCAAAAATATGAATCTTAAACGACTAAATGAATTACAATAAATCTGTCAGTCACCAGAGTAGGTTTCCTTCAAAAGCAACTCTGAACTTCCTTGAAAGAAAGGTCATCAGATGTGCAAGAAGTCTGTACGTTGCTATAGTTTATTATTATAACCAAGGCATACACTAAGTAAACAATTTAACACTTTGTGATCATTTGATGCAAAACTGCTTATAATTCTGATTTAAATAAAGTTAATGGGAAGAATCCAAACAGGCTTCCATAATGTAGCTGATTAACTCAGGCATGAAAATACCTCCCCAGTTCAGACAATCAGAGTGTTTTATGGCTGGAAAACCATTTAGTTATGAATTTCTCAAGCTTTGTTTTTAAATTTATTTATTTTTGAGACAGGTCTTACTCTTTTTGTCACTCAGGCTGGAGTGCAGTAACAGGATCTTGTTGCATTGCAACCTCCACCTCCTGGGCCTAAGCAACCCTCTTGCCTCAGTCTCCTGAGTAGATGGGACCAAAGGTATGAACCACCATGCCTGCCTAATATTTTAATTCTTTTGTAGAGACTGGGTCTTGCCACGTTGCCCAGGCTGGCTTTGAACTCCAGGGCTCAATTGAGCCTCCTGCCTCAGTTTGCCAAAGTGCTGGGATTACAGGTGTGATCCACTGCACCTGGCCATGTTTCTCAAACTATAATGTGCATGTAAATCACTTGGGGATCTTGTTGAAATGAAAATTCTGACTGATGGTCCAGAGTGTACAATCTGAGATTCTGCATTCCAAACAAGCTGTTGGTCCACTGAAGAACCACATGTTGAGTAGCAAGGATTTATTTCTACTCCTTTGCTTAATAGATGAAGGAAAGACAGTGCTTCACCTGGTTTTTTAGGGCATCACCATGACTTGGACAGACTTGAAGTCTTTGGAGCTGAATATTATTAATGTCAGTTTCTCAAACTCTTACCTCTAAAGTCCCTGGTGAGGCCTTGGTTGCTCAAGGCCTATCCTGAGTTGAGGTTTTTAACTTTTTCTTTCATTCAGTGCGAGAACTGAAAGATTACTTTTAATAAATGTCCTTTTTATTTTTTTCTCTTTCTTTTTGGCTGTTGCTTGCAATCAAAATAATATAATCTATACAAGATGTGTTTTGAGACTTAAATGCAAAGAAATATACCGTATTTGTATCACAAGGGAATGAATTCTCTCTTTAGAACATAACAAATAAATATATTTCCTTAAAAGCTTACATAAATCCACTGGTAAGTCACAAATGTCTTTCTCCATCATGATCTTCTTCCTCATCTTCCTGGCTCTATCCAACTTCCAATTTGATACCTCCATTAGAATGTCTAATAGGCATCTCAAACTTAACATATCTCAGATCCAAAATTGAACCTTCCAAACTTGATGTTTCTATAACAAATGACACTCTTTTTACACAGTTACTCAAGTAAAAACCTTAAGAATCATCCTTGATTTCTCTTTTCCCCTCCCTAAGTTCAATCCATTAGCATGTTCTTTCAGTTCTGCCTTAACCGTCTAGCAAAAATCAGCCACTTGCCATTTCAACTGCCTTGTCCTAAACAATTGTCATGTCTACCGTAGACAACTACAAAAGCCTTCTAGCTCTACTTTTTGCTCCCACTCTAGTCTTTCACATGGCAGCCTTAGAAATTCATTTAAAATGTAAACAAGATCATGTTACTTTTATGCTCAAAGCTGTTGAGTAGCTTCCTATCCCACTGAAAATAAAATCCAGACTCCCTACTGTGATTTGCACAGCCTATGTAATCATTGCTTTACTAAACTCCTTTACTTCTTGTAAAGAAATATGCCATCTTGTTCTGCTTTCCTCCTGGCACACCCTGCTCCAGCTATGCTGGTTTCCCTGATACCTCTTCAACTGGAATGAAAGTCCTAAGGGCAGAGATTTTTCTCTGTTTTACTTACTGTTGTATTCCTACTACCTAGAATAATATCTGTCACAAAGTAGATGTCAATTAATAGTTCTTAAATGATTGAATGAAGAATGTATAATCAATTAGGCATAGTAAATATG